GTGGCTGTGTGCCTTTTTAAACAGATTGTATTTCTCCCAGATGGAATTTCTTATCGTTAAGACAAAGAGACATTCGTATATGAATGCAATCTAATACTGCAAATGTTTGTAATCATTTGATTGTTTGTAATGTGATCCCACTGTCTGTCCAGCTTATAGGATCCTCATCACTGAAAGCACCTAATTATTTCTAGTATTTCTGTTACCTCAGGAGGCAAATTTTTACTGGGAAAAACTGCTGAATTTAGTGCCAGACACCTTGATACACACACAGACAAGACTTTATTAAGAAACAGAGACTAATAATAGCTGTATAAGGTTGTGGCAAGAATGGGCTAATCAAATGGGGAAATCAAAGCATTCTGTTATCTTTGTTTTCTTCTTTCTCCTTGTTCTCTTAACGAGATAACAAACCCAACCAGCCAGAGAGGCTCCAAGCTTAGAGGCACCTGCTGCTCTCTGTGTTCTAACAGTTCTGTCCTATTTATGACACTTCCTTTTGTAATACTGTAAGGAGGTATCGGAGAAGGTGGTGGAATATTTCAACAATTCACACTGTGAGACTCACAATTGGACTAGTAACTAGCTTTCTTTGAAAACTTTATTAGGATCTAAATCCTAGCTCTGCCTCCTAGCTGGGTAATCTTTGTGCTTTTAGCTTTGTCCTGACAAAGCTCAAAGGAGTGGAGTTTAAGGTTCATTTCAGCTCTGTAATTTTGTGAACTCCACCAGTTTTTATTCTTCTTGGAAACTGCGCCACCTCAGAGGTTTCTCTAAGAAGAGGAATTTCACCCTTGGTAGCAAATGACAAAGAACTGAATTAAAGAGGAAGCAAGCAAGTCTTTCTACCTTCTACGATTAGAATGAGGGAACAAAGTCTCTGAGCAAGGACTTCTTCACACTCAGCTTCTCTCATCTGTTTGTTTCTTTTCCTTCCCTTGGGTCCTTGAAAGGCCTTACTTGTATTTTCCAAAGTATTTTTGTCCTTTCCTAAGTTCACATTGGTTTCCACGTGTCTATAAAAAAGAAGTCTGGAAAGAAGACTCAGCAGTTAAGAAAACTGAGAGCAGCTCACAATTGCCTGTCACTACCGTCCCAGGAGATCTGCCGCCTGCTTCTGCCCTTAATGTGCACTGTATGCACAGAGTACCATCAAACAAAGACACATACACATAAAATTAAAGTAAGTAATCTGCCCTCACCCCCCCCCCAAATTTTTGAAATTATTTATAGACTGTTGAGGGAATAGAACAAACATTAATGTGTGTATGAATAACCCTGGATATTAAAAAATACCCAGAAACTTGGATTTAATATGTTAAAATATCATGTGATAGATTCTAGATTTCTAGCAAGTTCCAAAAGATTTAGCTAGCTTTACAGCTAGCTTACAGTAGTTATTAGAGTTTGCCTTGCAAGGAAAGGTCCTTATATGTAAGACTTAGAAGCAAAGGCAGTCATGAAAGTACTTAACTTTCATAATCACAGTATACATTTTTGAGTTAGCAAAAATCAAAATCAAAATTTGAAATTAATTTTTAATGGGCAGAGAATGATAATCTATTATTTTACCATTCTCACATGGTTTCTCTGCATTAGCATAAACATTTTTTATTACTTTTATTCACTATTATGTAAAGAGGAGAAGGAGGGAGAGAGAGAGGGACAGAGGGAGTGGAAGGGGGAGGAGGAGAGGGAAAGCAAGAAGAAGAGGGGGAGAGGGGGAGGGGGAGAGGGAGAAGGACAGGGAGAAGGAGAGAGGAGTGAGCTCTCATACACACACGTAGGTGTCCATGAAAACTATGCTGGGTCATGTGCACCATAACACATGTGTAGAAGTCTGAGGACAGTTTTATGGAGTTAGCTGTCTCCTTACAATTTTCTATGGATTCTAGCATTTGAGATACAGATGCCAGACTTATACATTAAGCACTTTTACCTGCTGAACCATCTCTGTAGACTGACATACTTTGCGTTTAGAAAAAAATGGCCAATGTTGACATTTTGTAAGAGAAGTTTCTAATGCATAAACATGACAGTAAATGAAATGATGACACATGCTTTTGATATGAGATTACTGGTTTTCAATAAAAATTCTTAAACAGAATGGCGCATTGTCAGCATTTTAGGAGGACCTCAAAGGCCTAACAAGTCTCAAAGTTTACAGTTCTATGAAATATTGCAGAAAAAATAACACAAGATAAGAATTATGGAAACATTTGCTTAGTTGTAAAATTATGCATTTTTATTTTCCTTCAATGATTACTTAGTATTCAATATAAATGTAACTGATAGAAGGCAGTTGAAGTTCATTACCATCAGCTGAAAATTGAAAATTGCAGAGGATCCAGAAGTGACTCCGCAGGAGACTGACATAGCTGTCAGCTCCCCTGCCTCCCCCTACGGTCGACCCCTAGACTTCCACGCCCTCCAGAAGGGTTCCTGGTATGCCTGGCTTTGCCCTCATTTCTCTCGCTAGAGAGCTTGGCCTCTTGATCACCACAACAAAAATTGGCTTTTTCCTAAACCAAGGCCACCCTTGATATGGCCGCTAACATTGGGGAGCCTTCCTTTATGACAATATTACACCCCAAACTGACAAATGGTTGGTAACTTGAACATTTACAAGAGACTAGGATGGCTGTGAGTTAGCCCAATGACGGGATTATTGTAGGTCCACTTCCCAGGGGCCCACCCAATGCAGCCAAAAAGGAGTGCGTGGTGCTGGGAGTGGGTGCAGCCTACATGGCCTAAGACAGGGCTCTCACCCTCCTTTCACCCACATCAGAGTCCCTTGACGTTGCCCATCGTCGACAGCCTAAAGCCTTCGACCATCGATGTGACTCGTCTCACATCAGTGTTTTGGGGTTGTGAACTTGTCTAAGACCCCCCATAATTAGACTTCCAAATTCAAAACTCACATAGTTGGGATTGAACATAAGACGCCTTCTCTAACTAAACAGAGAAGGGGGAGATGCCAGAAGCCAGGACCCTCGCCCTTACCCATACCCCCTACCTTTCCCCACCTGCACAATGTCCTCTGAAGCTTGGCAACTGCAAGATCCTGCTTAGCAACTGCAGATAGACTCAAAGCAGAGTACCATGTCTTCTTAAGAATAGCAGGGAGACCATAACTCAAGCAGTGTACCATATCTTCTGAAGAACTGCAGGTAGATCATAATTCAAGGCAGTGTACCATATAGACCATGACATGTTTCAAGGCACAGGCCAAGAAGATTTTGTACTTTTCCACCACCTGGACCCTCTTACCCCCTCCCCTTGTAAAACATGCTATAAAAAAGCATTTCATGTTCAAAAAAAAAGAAAGAAATTAAAAAAAAAATTCCAACTTCCCTGGCTAGAGTAAACCTAAGAATCTTTTAACATGGTGCCTCTAAAATTTAATATGAGTGAAAATTCATTAGGATACTTATTCAAATGTTGATATTATCCTTCAATAAAAATATTACATTTTTAATTCAAAAAAAATAAATGTAACTGATAGAAAAATAAGATAAATATTATCAACAATGTTATCAGAACAAAGAAATTTCAATTTCAAATATAAAAGTTACTGTTTAACTTCAGAAAACTTTAAAAATTGAAGTGTTACACTGAAATCAACCTTATAAAATACATAATCCTTCTTCTTTTTTTAATATGCATGTACCTCTTTGCTTTTAGGAAATCCTAATAAATTTATATGGAGTGGAAAGAAATTAAGTAGCAACAACACAATGTGTCATTATTCACAGGACTCATGTTTTTCTGTTCTTTTCCTCATAGAAGAAGGAAAAATTGATTCAATGTCCAGATTTCATGCTTGTATTTAGTAGGGAGATTGTCTTCAGAAGACTTAACACAAAAGGTGATGATAACAGACCATAGTTCAGGAAAACAAAATGGAGGCCAGATAAGGAACAATGTCAGCAGAGAGATGATTAATGCAACATTGAAGGATTCAGGATGCTTGTATTTATGTCACAGAAAAATATCTGGTGTCCTCAGAGCCTGGCAGAGTGCAAGATTTAGTCCCCAAGTTAGCCCTGCACACACATTTAATTATGTAAAAATTGATGTTTCTTTCTATTCAATATATGAGTCCACAAAACAAAATGTGTTTAACAAGATCTTGTTACAGCAATAGTATCAGAGACTCAGAGACCTAATATTTCTTTAACCAAGTGTTGGGCTTTTGTGGGTAGCTACATTGTAGAGTCTCTTTCCTCTATTATGTTTCTATCTCATAAGAATAAAGTGTAGCTTTTCTTGGGATTGTATCAGTTACTATTTAATGAGGTCTAAAATGTGACATGATGACCAATTCATCTTGCTTAAGCAAGCAAACAGAAAGAGATTAAGGTATTTTTGAGGCTTGTCCTTCAGAAGAAAATGTATTTCTTTTTTATTAGCTCCATCTGATGGCTGAACTAATATTTGCACATGGCCTAATTAAATTCTCATTGTAATGTTGTTGTTGTTTTGCTACCTTGCTCTTCATCATAAGGGAATGATATGCTAAGAAGAGATTGTTTGGATATATATATATATCACTAATTAGTGAATTCAACTCTACCAATCATCCACTATGTTAAATGGAAATAGATTCCTTTTAATATTCTTTCTAAAAAAATGCAACTTGTTAATATTATCAGATCTTTTAAATGTTAGATTGAGAATCATAAATGCCAGATATTATAATTGCAAGATTTAAAAATATAAACATACTTTAATATTTTCCTCTATGAATTTACACATACATATCATAATTTGCTGAATGTACATTGGAAATATACATGAAAACAAAAAAAAATAATTATATAAAATTATTTTCATAACAATAAATTAGTTTGACAAAATCTAACATTTTATATGATATAGCACCCTATTGTTATCTACATATAGTTATGCAAAAATACATTTATGCTTTGACTTTGCATTTGGAGGAAATAACTGAGCTTAAGTATTCAGTGACAAATAAACCATAGAAAATTTCATACCTCAGCATCATATTCCCATAGTTGATTTCCTCTCATATGGTGACATTTTAACATGATTACAGGTCCACTGAGCCTGGATACATCCAGGCACAAGTCATCAGTTCGGATTTCTTTGTCAGCAGTATAAGAAAACACCTGAAAATAGAGAATTGAGCTAATTAAATAATATCTAGGTTACAAAACACACTGTTTAGGAGAGGTGTCTCTGGACACGTCCGTAACCTATCCACATGGTTCCAATCCTCTCTGTTGAGCTTACAAACGCTGTATCACTTTGCTTTCATTTTGTTTAAGAACCAAACACAGGAACATCATCTTCTGTAGAATGCTATAGTGAAACTTTGCTTTAACAACATCAGTCAGTGCTTATATGCTGGCCTTGCTTTCCTATATGACACAAGCTTTATGAAGCACTAATATTAATATTTAAATCTGTAGACAGAAGAGCTCCTCTGAGAACTGCCTTCTCCACACTTACCACAAATTCTTTACATCTAAACAATTACTTATTTAGAAGTTTAAGGACATTTTGTGAATTTTTCAATGTTTTCAGCAGATTTATAACTGTAGGATAATTGTCTTTTCAAGGTCTCAATAACCGTACCCTTACATTTACTATTATTCTCCTTTGTCTATGATTTTGGCTAATCTTAACAAAGCAGTGCTTTTCAAAATACAAAGGAAATGCCAAAGCAGATTGATTCACTGAAAATTCAAACTGAAATTACAAATTTTATAGTTTTGTACTAGTGGCAGTAAACATTATGTAAAACATTAACTATTCTGTGGGTTCTTCTTTTTTAATTTAGATGTCAGTTTTAGTATAATTAGAAAGGTCATCTCAGAAGTTTTTGTTTTTCAAAGAATTCTGAGGCAATGAATTTTGTAAGTACCAAAACCATTTGGAGTCCTAAACAACAGGCTGAACAGTTAGTTTTAAAAATACTGTAGAGCTGGAGGATGTAGCTAGTGGTGGAGCATTTGAATAACATGTATAGGCTCTAAACTTAACCTATGGTACCCACAAAAATATCAAACAATAATTAAATTTACAATCAATTGACATTATTTTAAATTGGGGAGATGAGAGTGTAGGGAGGGCTTTAACAACACTAAAAACAAATAGAAATCTCTTACAGAAACCTATTACCTTTTAGGTTAATTTTAAAAATTAGAATACAGCTGGGCAGTGGTGGCACACACCTTTAATCCCAGCACTTGGGAGGCAGAGGCCGGTGAATTTCTGAGTTCGAGGCCAGCCTGGTCTACAGAGTGAGTTCCAGGACAGCCTGAAATACGCAGAGAAACCCAGTCTCGAAAAAAAAAATAGAATAAAATAAATTGAATTGCATTGATGGATAATGCTTCTTCCTGAAACCATGTGGTATTTAAAAATGCCAATGTCAGGCACAGGTGCACCCCTATGAGTTACCCATCAAAAAAGCTTCAAAGACCTCCACAACAATGCAGGGTATTGTTGCTCTTTGTTGCCCACCAGAATTTGATGGTACGATTCTATTGGTGAAGATGCTCCATAGTTTGATTCCAAAACAAAGAGAAATGAAGCTAGCACACAGCTAAAAATTTCCTTCTTGTTCGTTAGCTTTCATAGCTCTGGCGGGTACCATGCAGGATCCTGATAGAACTGTCAATCAGTAGACTTACTCCGCAACAGACCCTGAAGTCTACAGTTTTGACCTAGTAGGAAGAATGTACACATTTGTACAATAGTCTCATGATTGTTGCAGGATAATCAATAACATTCTTTTGGGATTTGAGATACATTGTACCGATGAAGTCAAATCTGGTTCATAACTCCCAGAATGTCACTGACCCTATGGAGGAAACCATTAATGTTGTACATATATATGTTTATACCTATAGATTGTTTTTGTGTCCTTGGCCAAAGAAGGTTTTTGCATAGCAAGCATCAGTTAATAAAGAAGCTCATGATTAATAAATGATCAGAGAATAAGTAGCTATTATAGTCTTGTTTCTTTCCCCAAAAGTCTCAGGTACAATCATTGAAGATGAGACAGAAAGAATGTAAGACCCAGGGTTTTAGTAGATGATGTAAGCACTACATTATAATGTGAAATGGTTATTACATTCATAAACTCAAGGCAGATATGGTTACCTACACAAATCATGCATAAAATAAAGTCCATCAATTTTCCAGCATGATTGTTGTGAGGACAAATTAGACCCTGTAGTTTATTGTAGTTAATGTCCACCAGGGGAGGGTTATCTTTCTTCAGTGGTATAGTCACTGGCAAATTGGCCTTTATTTAGCAATAACCTCACAATCATGCATATGCATTAAATTCTTATTTAATCCCAGTGAATTTTTAAATAAAAAAAGTAACTGAAAGGTGGGGGATGTGTTGGTTTAAACACTGGTTCTAGAAAAATATGAAGTAGATAACCTAGAAGAGTTGAACAAGGAAAAAACATGATCAAAATGGTTTATATGCATGTGTAAAGTTACAAATTCATCATTTAAATGTTTAAAAATTATTTAAAAGGTAAAAACAATTGCTGATACATAACAAAAAAATCACTTAGAGTGTCAGAAACTTTTCAAGGTCTATGATGGATCTAAAGCCCTCATACATTTACCAGTGAAAACAAACTTTTTCAAGAAGCTAATACATTCTATATGAAATATAAATATTTGAAAAGTATAAGATGTTCAATTAATTTTTTAAATTATAAATTGTACATAAAACTCAAATATACATTAATATTTTTTTTTTTACTTTTTGATGTTCATCCTGTTTATGAGAAGGCCATAAGTAGCCAGGGAAACAGGAAAAGGAAAATAACACAGAAAAACATATTATCTTGAGAAAATAATAACTGTAAAAATTTGTGAATCTACAGAAAGTAAAGTGTTGGAGAAATTTAATTTACCCATTACTGCACTAGGTCAGGATTACAGAATATTCTGCAAAGCTAACATTTGTTTGCTGCAGTGCTATTGTAAAAGTAATTTCTAGAATACCTAAACTCAGGGGAGAAGGAGATATAGTGATCAGTAGGACACAGGAGCTATGAAGCAAACAAAGAGAAAATCTGTGTTCTTTATCTAGTGATTCACAATGAAAATGAAGTAAGAGAAAGGGAGAGGAGGGAAAATTAACTAGCACTAAGGATGTTTTATAAAATATAAGGAAGAATATTATATAATAAATATTACTTAAACACATACTCAGAGGTGGGGGGAAGAGACAAAGAGAGAGAGACAGAGAAAGGAAGACAGACTTACACCACAACAGCTCCTTTCAAGAACCATAGATTATCTAACAAAAATCCCAGAACCAGTCATGGGAAACCTCCCTCTGTGTTTGTTGTTCAGAATTGTCCAAAAGACTCCCAGAATAATATAAGCTTCTGCTATTGTCTTTGGTTGCTTCCTAGAACTTGAGATAAGAGTCTAGATCTACTCAGGGTTCTTTAGAGCAATTGTTCTCAATCTTCCTAATTCTGTGACACTTTAATACAACTCCTCATGTTGTAGTGACATTAAAAACATACAATAAAAAATCATAAAATCATTTTTGTTGCCATTTTAACTGTAATGATTGCTATTTTTGTGAATCATTTTTCTAATGGTCATAGGTGACCTGTAAAGGGTCATTCAATAACCAAAGGTGTGATAACCCACAGGTTAAGAAACACTGTCCTAAAAGACCAGAACTGATAGAGTATATTTGTATCTCTATCCTATCATCTATACTTATGCTTTTCTCCCCATATATATTATTGTAATACTAGAATGAAAGTACTACATAGATGTAGGCATAGATATAGATGATGTAGGTATATATGTAGATAAAAATGTTATAGATATGAATATAGATTTAGAAAGGGAGTTTATTAGAGTAGCTTACAAGTTATGGTCTAGGTAGTCCAACAACTGATATCTACAAATGGAAAGTTCAAGAATCTAGTAGAATTGTTCAGCCCACAATATCTCAGTTGGTCTTCTGGATGTTCCAGAATCCGGAAGACACAGGTTTTAGTGTCAGCGAAGGAAGAACTTGCCATTGACAGTGAGAATACTTAGGCAAAGAAGTTAGCTTCCTTCTTCCTTATCCTTTATATAGATCACTACCAGAAAGTATCCCCAGTGAAAGGTTATCAAGGATCTGGACTAAAGGTGCATCTTCCAAAATCAAAAGATACGTATTAAAAGTGAATCTTGACACTTTAAATAATTTAATTTTCTCAAAAGTGTACCCAACAACATGGGTTTTAGTTAATTCCAGATGTAATCACTTTGACAACCAAGAATAGTCACAAAATATACTTCTTGAAAACTGGATTAATTATCTCTTCTAACCATGTTATTCCTTTCTTAGCCTGTTGGCTTCAGAGCATCAAAAACCCAAGTGTCCAAAGTGGGTATCTAAGCTTCCAGTGCAAATAAATGTTTGTTGTGCTTCCAAGCTGGGGTGATTCTCCTCTGGAGTAAAAAGTTTGAGGCCAGTATTACTCTGGCCCATAAACAGGAGACATTTTCCCTAGTGTGTCATTAGATTTAATAATGAGTGGAACTGGTTTTCTTTTCCTCCTTTGGTTTATGGATCTGTGGACCCTGACTATGAGAGAAACCATACCATATATGGGGTGCTGATTCAAAGCATTTACTTCTTCTGGAGAGCCTTGCCCCATGCTCTCAGACTGTTGCTGCTTAATTGGTACTATAACCATATCTTCAAAAGACCATCTTGCTATCAGTTCAACTGCTTAATAATAATGGGGAGCATGGAAAATCAGTGGATTATATGATCATGGGGCTATTGTTGCACTTCTTTGGCTGTAAAGTTAATTCCTTGGTCAGAAGGAATACCACAACAGTGAAGTAAGTTCACAAGTAGTAGTTATGTATAGAAAATACAAAGGCATAACCAGAACAAATATGTAGTTCAATAAGGGCAATGCATTTTCCTTTACACAAAGGAGTTGGTCCAAAGTAGTCAACTAACCACTGTGTCATTGACTCGTAACCCTGTGGAAAGTGTCGTATTTTGTCCTCAGTATTGATTTCTGCTGTTGGCAGATATGGCACCCAGCAGAAACTGTAGCTTAGTCAATCTTAGTGAGTGGAAGTCCATGTTGTTGAGCCCATG